GCTCTCTCTCTCTCTCTCTCTCTCTCTCTCGCTCTCCCCCTCTCTCTCTCTTTATTTCTCTCGCTCTCTCTCTTTCTTTCTTTCTCTCTCTGTCTCTCTTTCTCTCTCGCTAAAACAAATACACAAACACACATTGTCTTAGTATACAGTTGGTCGTTAGAGCAGGTTTCACTGTAGTCAAATATCCTCACACCCACAGTACAAATACCAAATCAACATCGATGGGACGGTAGCAGCGTACCGGCTGCCTTACCTGCTGGCAGGTGACTCCCTGGTTATGAAGCAGGACTCGTCCTACTACGAGCACTTCTACCGGGACCTGGAGCCTGGCATGCACTACGTGCCCTTCAAGCATGACATCAGTGACCTCATGGACCAGATTAAGTGGGTCCGGGAGAATGATCAGGAGGTAACTAAATGTTGGTGTAGTTGCTCTTTTCTGTGTTTGTTTGTGTGTATTTTGTGTGTGTGTGTTTTTGTGTGTATGCACGTTTGTGTGTATGTTTGTGTGTCTGTATGTGTATTGTTGTTGTTGTTGTTGTTGTTGTTGTTGTTGTTGTGTGTGTGTGTTTGTGTGTGTCCTACTAAGAGCATTTCTTCCGGGACTTAGTTTTAGTTTTTTTGTAAGACTTTTACGGCACTTGCACCTCAATAAGGTCATATAAGTACCAAAGACTAGAGGTGTTACAAGAAAGTAACGAACATAAAAAGGAAGGAGGAGAGATCAGGACAATAGATGTTTGAAAGGAAATAAGGAGTAAACCACACCAGAGCGCCCGCCAACCACCGAGTGAATCCCTGGTTATGAAGCAGGACTCGTCCTACTACGAGCACTTCTACCGGGACCTGGAGCCTGGCGTGCACTACGTACGTGCCCTTTGAGCATGACATCAGTGACCTCATGGACAAGATTAAGTGGGTCCGGGAGAATGATCAGGAGGTACGGTAGCTAATGTGAGGCGTGCTGACAAAAGGAGTTACTTCTCGCAATCCATTAATGAAGATATTGGCCAAAAATCGACGCTAGGGTCAAATTTGTAGATTTTCAATGTATACCATAATATTCTTTGACTGTAGCATGCCTTTGTCATTTCATACTTAATAAAGTGTAAAAACTTCAACTATAAGGGTGATGTATCTATTTCTATTAGGCTCAAATCCGAGAAGTAACTCATTTTATCGGCACGTTGTTCTTGTGTACGTGTGTGTGTGTGTGTGTTTGTTTGTTTGTTTGGTTGGTTGTGTGTGTGTGTGTTCCATGTTTGTGTGTTTGTCTGTCTGTACGTGTGTGTGTGTATTTGTCTGTCTGTGTGTGTGTGTGTGTGTGTGTGTGTGTGTGTGTGTGTGTGTTCTACAATAAGCGTTTCTACCTTGGCCTAGAGCCTGGCGTGCCCTTCAAGCATGACATCAGTGACCTCATGGACAAGATTAAGTTGGTCCGGGAGAATGGTCAGGAGGTACGGTACTAAATTATTTGTGGGGTTGTGTGTGTGTGTGTGTGTTTTGTGGGGGGGTTTTGACGCGAGCGGGCACACACGCACGCACACACACGCACGCACACACACACACACATACTCACACATACACACACACGCAAACACACACACACACACACACACACGCACGCACGCACGCACGCACACTTCATCTGCACAAATTTTCGCACCAAGGGAGATTACGGGAAAGAATTTTCTTCCATTCTATACTATGGTCGCCTCCCTTTGTAATGTAAAGTACAAGCTTTTCTTTTTTGATAATGTCTTCTACCAACTACAATTTCTGTAGAGAGAAATTAGTACCCTGCGTACGTGATTGTAAATTGATAATCCACATGGCTTTAAGGTCTTCGACAAGGGTAAAGAGGTTTCTCTGTTCAGATATCTCTCAATCTCAGTAATTTTCCCCGAGTTCTTGTTAAGCTTAGAGTTGATTACAGATGGTCTGGAGAACTTTGTTTTTCCACTAAACGTTTTCCTGTCCATGTTCTATGCTATTTACACACATTAACAAGGTGGTTTTCATGGTCTTTAGAGGTTACAGTGTTTGCCTCTCATTCAATAAATCCTGGGTTCGAAACCTGACAGCGACGGAAAATTTTCTTATCTAAAATGTTGTCCCTTCACCTCCTTTCCCGCTATCTAACCATATTCTGTTGTCTGATTTCGTCTCCACTGTATGCCCCTTTCCCCCACCCCTTTGCCCCCTCCTCTGGGCTCTGGTATCTTTCTGCTGCCTTTTTACTGCTACTCCTTTGCTCCTTTCTTACTGCTGTCTTTCAGCCACACCCCCGATCTTAGGGTAGGTAAGATCTAACACCTAGACTTCTCGGATAAGGGTGAAATATCTCAGTTGTCCCATGTGCAAGCTGCGCAAGTTAAAGATTCGTTGGTGGTCCTAAAATCGGTAATAATGGGCTTTGGCCGCCAACGGGGCAAATATCGAAATTAATTCCCATCAAACGTGTTTCGCGGGCTCATTTGACCTTATGCAGTTGCGAGCGCTGTAAAACACTTTCCAAAACAAACAACACCTTAACAAATGAGCCGCAATCTTCTGAATAGGCATGTACTCAATAGGTACCTAAGTGTCCTTTTTATATGATCAGGCTGTCACTTATCTTCTTTTTAAACTCTCTGTAACTCTCATGAAATTGAAGATGAATTTCACTTAATTTTCTATTGTCCATATTTTGTTTATCAAAGAAAATTGTTAATTCCTCTCAGCCTGACTTGGCCCAGTGACAGAAACGTGCAATGTTTGACCCATGATAGAAGATATGTTCACAACCTGTACTCTTTGATCATGGAAACTTTATTTGATAAACGAGTGTTTTTTATGATGTGATGTGGGCCAATGGCCTTAAACATTGAATGAACTTAATTACTTATTTGTTAATCCTCAAGTTTGAGAATAATAAGATATTCATGTATGGTTGGCGGGTGCTCTGATGTGGTTTGCTCCGTCTTTCCTATTAAACATCTATGCTCCTTGTCTCTTTCCCTTCTTTTAAGTATTTGTTACTCTCTTGTAACATCCCTAATCTTGAGCACTTACAAAATATTTCTAGTCTGGCAGTCCGATGAGTCGGGTCTGTCAGGGGGCCCCCATCCAAGATAAGTGTTGCCTTGTCGTGGTTCTGAGTCCGACTGAATCTCTCAGTGAGTCTCTCAGACGATCTCCGAATATGTTCCCACGGTACCTTTGTTTGACGTCATCCAAGGGCGTGCCACTCCCTTAATTATCTTGTCCCCACAGTAAAGACAAGAGTCATGTCCCTTGACATCACATGTGTCAGGTGTCATTAGGTTAAATATTTAGACTACAACAATGATGCCCAAACTATGATGTGATTTTAAATATGAACTGCAGAAAGAGTTGGGAGATGTATTTGCAATTTTGCAAGTTCTCCTGTTTGAAACGGGTGAACATTTCAACATCCCAACATTTCAGTAACCACCAATGTTTGAAAGAATGAAGAACTTGTCTAAGTCTTTTTATTCCTCTCCACACCCAGGTCCAACAGATATCTCAGAACGGCCAACAGTTTGCCAGAGAGAAGTTGGATCCCGCCCAAGTGCTGTGTTACCACGTGAGAGTATTTCAGGTTAGTGCTTCAGTAGTGGGCATTGGATGCCACTCTGATGTCACATTCTTTTTCTCCTTTTTTTCTGTGTTTTTAATGTGCTTAGTGGTGTGTGGCAAAATGTGAATTTTTTAGAGCTGATTTGTGTCAGCTATATCTTGACCTCAGCAATAACAACAACGCCACCTCCACTACCACCAATACTCTCATCATTACCTCTATGACCACTGACAATATCAGAACCCCCTCCCCCCACCTCCTCACCACTGCCATCATCATCATCATCATCATCATCATCATCATCATCATCATCATCATCATCATCATCATCACAACCACCACCACCAACATCATCATCATCGTCACCACCCTCACTGCCAACATCATCCCCTCTTCCACCACCACTACCACGGTCCCCGACTATAACAGGATCACCGGGACTGACTTGATGTCCCTGTAATAAACGGAAATCAAGTTTACACATGCTGTAACTGTAATTGAATATTTTTCTTGAAAATGAATAGTGCGACCCTTGACTCAGTCACTCACTCTCTGAGATTTGAAAGTACTTGTAGGTCTACGTGTAGTACTGTAAAAGCGACACAAGCATGTCTCCAAACGTGTTTTTTAAGACTCAATGAACGTCCCCCAGCCCCTTCCCATTTCTCCACCTCCTCCTTGATGAAAAATCAAAGATTTTGCTTTTGTTTAAATATTGGACGATTCGGACCCCGGGAGGTATATATATCTTTAGCCAGGTGACTAGACCTGTGAACACATTACATGCTAAAGGATTTGAAGATGTTGTTATGATGCTTAAGTATATGTGTGCTGTGATTTTCTTCTTCAGGAATATGCCAAGCGTTCGAAGGCCAAACCCAAAGGCATCGAAGGATTTGATCTGGTAGAACAGCCTACTGAGAGATTTCCTTGCCCATGTCCAAAGAAAGAGAAGTCTCAGGTGGGATTTTTGCTCTGCTTCTGCTCGGCTCTTTTTTGTGGGGGGAGGGGGGGGGCTATTTA